TTTATCTATCGTGGTTCAATGTGGGGCGTTTGGGATATTTTGGAGAGTGTTCTCTAACTAGATGAACGTACACCTTCGAGATGAGTGGCACGCACTCACCTGGACATAGTTCAATGAAACTGACGAGTAGAAATGAGCCATAACAACAACCTTGACTGCTGAAGCTTTTGAAACTTTCAAACTCAGCGACAGATGAGCGCTGCATGAGGTAGTGCTCAGGCGATGCAAAACGCTGAGTACCAGTCCCGGGAGCTCACGTGACTAACACAAGTTTGAATTGCAGTAGATTGAGGAGATGCGCCCAGCGCAACTGGTCCCTAACAATGTAGAAACAGTTTACAACGATTCTGATTGGTGAGCTAGTTGTTGATTTCGCTCGATGAGTACATACATCCCCAATTCTATAATCTATGTCTTTGTGGAAGGATAGACCGTTGCATGCGACCAAGTGGTCACTTTCTTTGAGTAGACATATCTGTAATATTTAGTATAGTACAAGTTTTCAGTAAGCCAGAAATAGAAATCGGAAAAGCGCTGTACAACTGTTGCATATTTATAGTGAAAAATGCATCTAGGGCTGCACTCTGACCCAACGATAATCAGCAAGAATTCAGCATATACCATCTCCCTCGGCCCGCCCCAAAAAGTGGAATAGCCATCAATTGAGAGTACCGAATCTCTATGTTGTCAATGATAACGGACATCTGCGCATTACATTACATGCGGAGATGAACCATAAAGTGCATAAGCGAGTTTTCGAAATTAGCTCGGCAAAATTAATCCATGAAGTTAAACTTCACTTTTAACCACAGGCATATTTTCCCCCCGGTTGATTCGAGTTTATGCGGCATTCGAAAGACGTTCTTAAGACTGATGGGGGATCGAAGTTGATCGCATAAGATGATTTTCCGTTCTCTTATGCGTTTCTTTTTTTAGGTCGATCAAGCAACTTTTGTGCAAATAAATCAATTCATATGGATTGCTTGAATTGATCACACGACAAAATATTCACCTTGTTTCACTTGTGTTTCTTAGTAAACATCTCATTGAACAACTTGTAATTTTCAATGATCCATCCCATTTTGTCATTTTCAAAAATGATGAAAACGGTTTATCGATTTAATGACTGTGCTATCCAAAGTAGTTAACTGCACAGATTAATTTCAAAATCGGTTTGAACGATTAAGGAATGTAAGAATGGGAAGATTCGGGAGCTAGGTCAGTAATTGGCTACATCAAATCTCTTGCAACACATCATAAATTACGGAATTTCCGTACATAAATATGTAAACGAAGTCTGTTTTAACCTTACCTCTTATCTTCTGATACGTAAATACACTTAAATTGTAAGGCATTCCGCACTTTCCATCAACTTTTTGTGTGTGCGCTACATTTTCCATGGGGATAGTTCTTTTATTCTGTCATTTGCAATTAAAAATAGTTTTTTAATATTTCATTGTAGAAAATTAAAGAACTGAAACATTCAGAATACTGTACGTCGTAAAAGTATTGAATACTGTTTAGGATTATTGTTGACAAAGCCAACGCCTGCGCACCCTGTTCCCATGCATTTGCACACCTGATTTCGAAATCCGCAAATTGTTGACGCACAAAAGACCGTATCCCTCTGCCATTCTCAAGGGATCACGGAAAATACTTCACTCTGACTGAGAAACTCGGTTGGAGCTCGCTGTTATGCTCGATCAACACCTGTTTGAATAAGTAACACTGTACACCATTCTCATTTGTATGGTGTGGAGTCAGATAATTGAATTTTCCCTGAGCGCAGGCACACNCGCACACGAGCGTCGCTTCTGAGTATACTGTGTTTCGATATCGGGTTCTTGTGAGCTCTCATGCGGTAAGCTATTTACATTCTATCGATCGATAGACACTTTAGGTCAGCCCATTATCCCGACTTGCACACAAACGAACCAATCATGCGTCGACCTTCTTTGCCGATAGATGACGCGAATTGTGGGAGATGTAGGCCACGCGGACAGTACAGTCTCACTGTCAGCTGATTGGTTGACTGACTGGCCTCTGATTGGTTATCTGGATCGCGCGCGAAAACATGTTACAACCGAACNGCCCATCGTTCCGTAGTCACGTTGTTTTCCCACAGACAAAGAATCATGTTTCTATTCCGAAATAATGCACTTGTCCCAGAAAGCATTTAGAATTTTCTTGCCCCATGAAATGTGTCAGGATTAGATCATTTCATAATTTGTGATCGGGATAAGTTGAACATTATGTGGAATTGTATGGTGATTTTGTTTCTCATTCCTGGCGGACTGACTGCCTCAACCATGGATATCAGTATTCCGTTCATATTGAACTCTAATCCCTGTCTTGTGGATCCCTCTATATGTTTTGAAGTTCCCTCTGCCCCGCGGAATCTTCGACTCAATCAACTGCGACGAGCTCTCCCTCCGGGGTTGACCGATCCCAGTGCCGAATTTGCGGTCCTCGAATTGGCATGGGACCCACCTGAACGAAGCCATGGCGATTTAAGGGGCTATCAGGTGTCTCATCGACTCATCGGTCCCCCGGATTTGATCTATTCACAAAGAGGCGCCGCTGAGCTGGGACCGCAAAAGCCAATCAAACGGAACGTCACTCAGACAGCTTACACTTCGACACTAGCGGATGGACTAAGTAAGTACTCCCAGTACTGATCGGCAAGGGGAGGGGGGGGAGGAGGTTGCCATTGAATTGCTAAGTGTGAAGCATGGTCTTTATGACCTCCATCGCTATACTTTCATCTTCGCACCCAGATCAGTGAAATAGCATGGGATTACGGTCCATGACACACTGAACCAGTTTCTCAGAGTATTTATTTTTGAAGACGAAATGTAAACTTCAAATTAGATTCAATTCATAATAAAATAGTAGCACCCACAATAGGAGTCTGGGGTGAGGGGTGGTGTACAATTGAGTCCAAGTGAATGATATGGTATTGCAACATTCAAATTGATTCTTATCCATATTTAACTTGTTAATCGAACGCGGACAGGATTTGAACACATCCCGCTGATGTCCTAAAACTTTATGTTTCAGACATGTGGCACCAGAATGCGTTCGGTGTGCGTAAAGGGTTACAGTGTGTGTGTCTTCTCAGCTCAAATCGGGTTATACGCACGATAAGATTTAGGAACTCAACATCCAAATGCTTGAGACGATATCATATTACTCGGATGTCATCCCGGAGACCTCAAACGGTCAACAATCATGTGAGCATAAGTTTACTGACACCCTGACAGCTTCCCTATCGGCCTGGGTCTTGTTCCGTTTCCAAAATGCGAAATCAGTGAGTGAGTGAGTGAGTGTATTTTCAGTACTGGGTTGTTTTCCCCCGGGTATCGTATATCAAGCAGGATGATAAGCGCGAATTGTCCCAGTGCAAAATACGTAAAATTCTGAGTATCGGGTGTAGGGTTACCACAGGATCACTAGTGAAATGCGAGGGCAGGGCCAAACAGACGTCCATTTTTTTATTTCCATCGTCGATCGTCGTCATATGGCGATCATTATATGCCGTCAATTTTTAGGATCCCTTATGAAATATAATCCGGGAAAAGACAGAGTGATAATACAGTTTTCACAACCGCCATTTAACTACTACTACTACTACTACTACTACTACTACTTCATAGGAGTAAGAGAGAAATGTGTAGTAAATGTGTGGTAAATTGTAGTCCTGAGTACAAATGATGATCTGAATATCCATGTACAGCTCCAGAAATTCTAGTAGTGAGAATGTATTGGTCAGTTTGCGTTCTACACAACTTGTTAGATCATCACTGCCATTGGAACATGCCAGACGCGTTTCACATCATCGTCACACGTGCCTGAGGAGAACCTTATATCAGCTTTGGTTTGATTCGACTGGCTCCCAACTGAGGTTAAGTCGGTTTCCTGGACTAATCCATGGTGTGGATATGGCAATATGAAATGACATCATCAGTAGTATCATTCAGCTTTTTTTGCCGAAGGTTACTCCTGCAAACAAGTACAACCTGCAGGGCTCTATCTTGTATGACATTGACGGGCCATGTTCGACCAAGATGAACTTCTTTCCCCCCGGGAACATTTATAACACACCTTCTGGTCAGGTGTCTGAACAAGAGTGGCCCCATCCTCAAACTAATAATTGATCAATGCAGTCATCCCCTGTTCTCAAGGTGAATCGCCTAAGTGATTCATTCACAGCGCTCGCTCTGTTCAGAATTGACAGTTATGTTGCGAATTTGAAGTTGAACATTATCCGGACGGGTGATCCGGTTAGAAGAATCATCGCTCTTTTTTCCGGTCTGGTCGTGGTTTCACCTACTGTGTGTCTGTGCTTCTTCATAGTGGTCCAAATGGTATTGTTGGTATTCATCGCTCCCTTTAAATGTCTATGATTTCACTTGTTTGCAAGTTAAACACTTGAACATTACTGTCGGAGTGTGTATAGGGAAGTTTCTCTCTCTGTCACACACACACACACATACACACGCGCGCGCGCGCGCGCACAAATACATCCTCTAAAGTTTGCTTTATGACCGGGAGAGAGAGAGAGAGAGGGTAATTAGCCACGACGGGCACTTTATACACGATTACGGATCAGCTATCGATTCACGGTAGACTAACGCTACAGCTGCAATTATCTCGAATAATAAGAAGAAAGAAAAAAAACAGTGTGCAACTCACATCCACAACATCCTTATTCTTGTCTTCCTTTCCATTTGGATAGAATGTGATGCGGCTAGGAACAATTCCATTGGGATGCTATTTTGTGCCTGAATGTGAAACCTGTTTAGTGGAGCCTGATACATGCAAATAGGAACAGATGCTCCCGGCAAATCGGATGAAAAGCCGTATACAAGCGGTCGATCTCCTGTACCATCTTCAGGTGTTATTATTAACCAGACAGCCCTTACCGACCGTTCTAATTATTCGATTTCATTTATTCGGGTATACAGAACAATTGTACAGTCTGCATTTCGGTAAGTCGAGGGCTGTAAATGACAAATGGGACAGTGTGTGTGTGTATGTGTGTGTGTGTGTGTGTGTGATGACGATGGGATGGCTGGGGTGGTTGAAGACTGAAAAATATGACAAACAAGATGAACAATGCCCCCATTTGAATACAACCTCCGATTTTGTTAGATGCCATATGTACACAGTTAGGTACAAATTGACCAAAACATTCCGCTGCTGGCCTGTTCGTATCACCCATACTGGACAATTGGAGAGAGCAGACGTGGATAGTGTAAATTGGAATGAACGACAGAGACATGAAATTTGGTGCACTATTCCAGTCTGTCTTCATCTGCTTACGTTTGATCACACAGACACACACAGACACACATGAAAACAGAGATTATTCGCGTTGCACAAATTGGTGCTTTAAGTATGATTTTCTGCGTTCTGCTCTCTGTGTGCTTGTGTTCTGCTTAATTTCCATGGAACAATCTCAGAACCCACAGCTCTGTCAAACCCTGAATTGACCTTATCGAGGTCACGATGGTGATTGCACGACCGCTTGGTCCTGTTTGAGTACCGGGTGGAGAAAATGAGATGTTTGATCGTTGATCAGTTCAGTTCATTTATTACAACCATTAACCATGCACATTCGTGAACCGGTTTTGATTGCCTGTTTGGATAAAATATTAGAATGAAGGTTGGAATATTGGGAGCAAATTTAGGCGAAAGATAGCGAATTCGTGTAGACTGAAGTTACAAAAATAATGAGCAGATGTATAAGCGCCACTGTTTGCGACACGCAGCCGCNTCACTGTCTCTCTAACCATCGGCGACCATCATCTCGGGGTCCCCAGCCAGGAAGCCTAACGGGGTCTATGTGATCTAGTCTCTTGGTTTGAGTTTTCGTACCCTCATGCCAGGTCTTAGTTTGATCACCCTTGCTCCTTTTCCAACCGCTACCTGCCTCGGTAAGCATCGCTCGCCGTGGCAACCTATTTGGTGACATGCGTACCACATGTCCCAACCAGTGTAATCTACGAAAGGTCGACTGCTTGCTCCAGTGGACGACCGCGATTGCCTAAAACTCTGCGCCTAACCTCAGCATTGCCAGTCAGGCTGCCCCACCAGACTCGTGCAATGCGACATAGATTGTCGGTGTTCGAACACCGACCGAGCATTCTG